GTCCTGTGTTATGAATGATTCTTTGTTATGTATTGACTGTTTTTTAATACCGTTTTCAGAGATCATTTTTAATTCACCGACAAACAGTTTTAAATACATATTTATATCTCGTTTTTTTCATCAAACCATTGACCGCAAATTAGAACATTATTTTTACACGCTGAATAAGGCATTTCATTAATAACAACCTATATTGGACACAAACTGGCATTAGAAGAAATAAAAAGACTAACTCCATCAACATTTATCTGCAGCGTTATATCATTTGGAACAATTACATTGTTTTTTTTTCAATTTCCTAAAAAATGTCCCATTAATTACGTCACTTTCTATACATCAGTTTCTGAATTCTAAATACAAATCGCTATTTATTATATCTTCAAGCTGTTGCTTTAGAGAAAGTTGAACAAAACAGTGTCCATCTTTTTTAACTTATTTATGTTATAAATTGCATTGCAATACTCACACATTGCATTTCTCTTGCAGTTGAAAGACAATATTTCAATGCAATTTTTGCAATAATAATGTGTAATACTATCTGGACCATCGTAAGATTTCGTTAAATGGTATAAGGATTGCAGTTTATCTTCTAGCAAATGACAATAAATTAACTTGGTTAAACTTTCTAACCCAACATCTGGTCAATTATGCCTCAATGAATATAATACAGTAATGAAGTTACTTTGTTCTACAGTAATTCTTAAGTCTTCATATAAAACAGACAGAAAAATATTAATAAATACAGTATGTTACAGGATGTTTAAAAAATAAGTACAGAGATCTTCAAAATACGAGGTCTGTCCGGAAAGTATCGGGCCTACCTTTATATTTTCGTGATAGCGTTATTTGTTATCATCTGGTGGGTGGCATCCTTCAAAGTAATCTTCACTTGATTCAATAACACGGTTCCATCGATGTTTCCACTTTTCAAAATAGTCCTGGAACTCACTTTTAGGGATAGCCTTGAGTACACTCGTCGTATTGTTTTCAACCGTTGCTTTGTCGTCGAATCGGTGTCCTTTGAATGGTTTTTTTAGTTTCAGAAACAGTTAAAAGTCACAGGAGCTATGTCGGGACTGTATGGAGGTTGTCGAACCAATGCGATATTGTGTTTGCTCAAAAACTGCTGCACAAGATTGGATGAATGCGCTGGCGCATTATCGTGATGGAGAAGCCAGTCACCACTTTCCCAAAAGTGCGGCCGTTTTCTTCTTACTGCATCACGCAAACGTTTCAAAATTTGAACGTAGTATTCTTTATTGATTGTCTGAGGCGCCGAGGTTCCCCCACCACCGCGCCTCGGCCTTCGGAGAGCAAATTTTGCGTGCGTCGCTTCCCCTTTGTGATTTATTTGAAAGAAATGTAGCAGGGTCGAGTATTGAATCTTCATGTTCGTGGTAAGTGCAAGCCCACAGGAAAACGAATAAATTTTTTTCATCGCGAAATTGTTGTTGTGTAACCGCGTACACATGCTTGACTTTGAGAGTCCATAACTTTGGATACAATGATCGGAATCGAACGTTTAAAGCGCCAAAAGTTTCCTTTTTCCAAACACTTTCCGAGAAATTTTCAAGTTTTCCATTCGAGTCAACTACTGTGGTGCTATTCATTTTGCAATTAAGGCGAAAATCGAATTTTTCAAAGAAAACGGAATTAAGTAGTTGAAAGCTCTAACAATGATGACAAAAATTGCATGTCATCGGCCGAAAATTTACTTAACTAATACGATAAGTCGAAAACTAAAAAAGATAGCGATGTCGTTCTTTCACGGATTTGATCGTTGAAAAAAGACGTTTCCAGAAAGTGTAATATGTTATAGGTTCGTCGAAATTGTCAATTTGATTTTCGATTGCGAAAAATAGGGCGTTTTTTCGTGTTTTTTTTTTTTTTTTATTCGGCCGCTGCCCCGGACGGTAATGGAATTTTTCAACTTTGAAATACGCCATTTTATAGGAAATTTCCCACTCTACAACTTTGCTTATTACAAGTTTTAACGAATACTTGATATTTCACGAGTAATATGCAGAAACGTGATGAAGAACAGCCCATTTTTGCATGTTTTCCCCTTCTCCGATTTTTGGTACGAAAAGCTCCGCAAAAAAAAGGCGCTAGGTATCAGATAATGTTTCTGACATTATTCTTGAGCGATTCCAAGAATAATCTCGGATTTGGCTCTTACATCCACCTCCAGTTACTATTCGCCTGGACTAAATCGTTATTTTTCACGGCCACCGCGCCGGTTCAAATTTCAGACCGACGCGCGGATCGCATCGGCAACAGCGCATGGCAACGGTCACGAGTCCGCCGAGAAAACTCTCTTCTCAACGCCTGTAAGCAGACGCGCGGCTTTAGCGAGTGCGCAACTGTAAACAAAACAACGTGCCCTCGCGACTTTTCGCTGCCTGCACACTGATCCAATGTTTACATCTGAATTTCAAAATTGTATTGAAATTAAAATTCAAATTGAATTTCTATAGTTAAAAATTGTTGAATATTTGTAAATCAATTGTATTTTGGAGGATCTATAGCTTTTTTACTCTTTGTCTACTATACTATTAGTATACTACGTATTAGTGTTCATATTTTACATGTTCAATTAGCTTTTCAAGTTTTAAAACTGTAATGGCTCCGAAACGTCGCAGAAGTGTAAGATCTCGGTCAGAGTCTGAAGAAGATTATTTTAATGATAATATGAAAATTTGTTATAATTTAAATGTTATTAACTAATTTGAATATTTCTTTTTAGAAATTACTTCTAAAATTAATAAACGATAAAGTTATGTAAAAATTTAATATTGCTCTATTGTAAATATTGTAATATTGCATTAATTAACTTTATTAGTTAATAATTTTTGACGATACTATTTGTGGTAATTGTAAATTACGCTAAATCGACCGATAACTAATTTTGTAAAGTTTACATGTGTTGAAACTTTAATATTGATGTTTATTTACTTGTAAATTAAGAAAATTCATTTCTCAAAATTCGCGAATATTTCTCGAAGATTCGAAAACTTCTCGAAGAACACTCTCCTGCGAAAATAGGCGGGAATATCTGTATAAATACGCCCATTATTGCACAGGCTGGTATTCTTACTCATTAACGCGACAAGACCACGAGAGTAGGAACTATTAATAATATCATAAGTGATACGAACATCGCACACATAGAAATGATGATATATCATATTTCCCCTTACAAAAAAGTGATGAATGCTATGTTGAAGCACTGTATTCGTGATCTAATTGGCTGAGATATAGTCACGTGATGTACTGTTCTGGCAGCAAATATACATGTTGAGATGTTTTAAGTAATACAAATTCATTTTATCATAATTGATATGGGTAGTTTTGAAGATAATGAAAATATAATAAAAAAGTATGCTGCATAGTTATTATTTTTACACTCATTTTATAAATCTAGCAGCGAGTAAATCGTTTGGTTAAAACGAGAGGTTATTATACTTTGGAGTTATTCTGATAATTTAATATATTTGAACGTGTAAGATTGAAAAAAATTTTGTAATATCGTAATCTATATTAAAATAGTAGAATAAACGTTTAATAGTAATTTGACCTATAAGGCTGAAAAGAACTATAGAGATTGCTTATATCTGTTTTCGATAAGATAATTCATAAATTTAGAAGACGCGAAACTATTCTACTAATACAAGTTTTCCACTATTATATGTGTTTTGTAACAAAATTTAAAAAATCCATCTTTGAAAAAAGGGATTTATTGCGTTAAATATGTTTATCGACATGACAAGAAATGAAAAAGGAAATGGAAGCGTGCGAAGCCCGTCCGATGTCGCTAATAGTGTAAAAACAATATGATTACAGTTTTTAAAGATGGATGGTGGAACTCCAATTATTTGTTTATTTATTTATTTTTTGAGATAATAGTAAGCATAATTATGGCATTTGATAGTTCGTGAAATAAAGAAAAGCTTTTATCATTGTTGTTCAGTAGTACATCCACAATTAATCTCTTGTCGAAATAGGATAACTTTCGGGTGCTAGGTTTAGCGGTCAAATATCGTCCAAAATAAATTCGGACCTTTAAGTAAAAGAGTCTCGTCTCGTGGTTAGTAATTGAATCTCAAATACCTTTTCATTCGTATACGCCGATGTGATGGAGATAGCTATGGAAGCAGCATTCTGAAACACTTTTTTCTTCACTTCTTCAATGTTCTCATCAGATGTTGATGTGTTGGGGCGTCCAGAACTAGATTCATCTTCAGTGTCTTCTCAGCCTTCTCGGAACAGATGAGATACCACTTGTAAACATTTTTCTTACTTACAGTATGCTCACTGCATGCCATTGTTAATATCGTAAGTGTTTTGGGACCCTTTGATTTCATTTTTCACACAAAATTTGATGCAAATTCTTTAATTCATGTTCTTAGACAGCAGCAAATCGTGGAGCACACAAAACACTTCTAACTTTTGAGCCTCTTACAACCAAAAAAATAACGCTATACACTTGAAACTGTGTACAGGTGCTCGGGATAAGTGTATTAACATAACCTAAAAAAAATCGAGGTTCAAACGAAATTTGAAAAGTCACCTTACTTTTTGATCACACCTCGTATTGCACACCATTGCAGCATTGCGTATGGTTAGTATGTATAATTGTCACACTATTTAGTTATCGGAGTGTCCGCGCATCCCGAAACGATCGCTTTAAAAAATTGTACGGAAAACCTTGGGTACAACCGAAATAAAGTCGATCAATTTTTATGTAACAAATACATAAATATGATGATATTTTTCATAACTAAAAGTTAGAAAAATATATCTGATGATGATTAAGAGTTTTGTAAATTCATCTATATGTACGTACGTGATTGCCTTCGGACCGACGTGTAGACTCCTTTGTTAAGCTTCTATACAATATTCGATTTATTATAGTATAACCCGTTACAAATAAATGAAATAAGCATATTTTTTTTGTGCAATGTACTTATAATAATTTAATATAACATATATATTTGAAGGACGACCACCTGGACCAGAAATGAAAAATTGCGTCGATCGAGAATCATATTCCTTAACAGCTGGTTTAGCTCTAGGATTAGTTGTGTTATGTTCAGGAGGAGGATCTGATTTAGCGGGTATTCCTGATACACTTCACTACTACATGATCGGAGGCAATACTAGACCATTTGGCGGAGCTCAAAAAGATAAATATAAATCGCCTAGGTAACTTTTAACAGTATTAATTATATTAAGTATACGTATATGTCTAATTATTTCGCTTTATTTGCAAGTGCTTATCTACTCAAATAATCAGCGCTTGGGCATTTTATATATTATAGTGTATACAAATTCAATATTAAAATATTGAATGGATAAAATCTATCGCATCATTTTCGCATACATAAATTTATTAGTTTTAGAAATGTAATAGATTCATGAGCTATATATATACAATCATTTTTTATGCAATTTATATATAATTTCAACTTATCTAATAACTTATCTAATGACAATACTACAACAGACAGATTCTTATCGGAGGATATTTGATTATCTTTCGATGTACAGTTAATAAAATGAATAATTGTCTTCCTTTTATTCTTATTTAATTATGGTAAAATAACTGTGATTATACAATTACTATTCAATTGTTTGAATGAATGATTTCTCATTATCAACATATGCATCGTCAAATGCACGTTTAATTTTGTAGAAAGTTAATAACTTTCCATTTAATCATTCAAATTTTTAACGAAGAAGCCAATATTTTGTTAGGTTACTGTTGGTTCACGCTATCATTGATGGCCGGTTGCTGCAGCTCTACCGTTGACGGTTCTGCATCGACCGTGGGTATGCTCTAGTGATGAATGGCGCACTTATCTGCAAGATACCTGGTTGATGTATAATTGTTCCCGATTACTAGCCTAATTCGAAAATTAAGATGCGTTTGATAAACAGTTAAGTACGCACACAAGTGATAAAAGCGCGTTTTTGTGCAAAGTGACCACCGAATGATGTTCATTTCTCTTCTCCAGTCATCATCGATCAGTGATCCAAGTGCGATCTAGAAAACTTTATTACGACCAAATTCTTGCTTACTTCTGCACTTTGGATTGGTTCATTCCTACTTTCTTCTTAATAATGCCTTCGCCTCTCCTCGCCGACCTTATCAAATTGTCGCGACTAGCACCTCAACTTAAGGGAGACAAGTACGAGAGCATGCAAACACTGCACATGCTCCCAGCTCAATAACAGCAAACGAGTCGACGTATTACTCGCACAGCTCTCTTCACTATTAATAATTTCATAGATCTTCTGAATAGGGTTAGAAAACCATAATTATGCAAAGTTATTTTCAAATCGCCATTCAATCTTAATGAAATCCAAAAATATACACTACCGTCCATAAAGATTTGCCATCCCCTTGCTGAAATCATCAAAACTTTAGAGTTTTATGGCTCAGTTTCTATAAGAGCTAGGGAATCCTGCGGGGTTTCATTTGAAAGGTCTTGCCAAGACCTTTCAAATGTTGTACAACATAATTGATTTTATTTGTTTTTTGTACAACTTGTGACGTCATAAACAAATTGTTTTTTTTTAATTTTTTCACATCAACTTCGACCCCGATTTATTTATATAACGGAATCTACGATGGAAAAACTGTATAAGCCATTCGATAGAGCTTTCAAAAAGCTACAAAATCCATATCCGGAAAATTTTTTTACCTTTATTTTTTATGAGCTATATGGTGTTTTATACAAAAACAAAGTTTTTCAAAAAATGGGCTGTATTTTTTTATTTTCAACTCTAAAGAAAAAACTCTCAGAATAAAAAATGTAGTATTTTGCAAGAGCTATCAAATGCGCAACTCAGAATTTAAAAAAAAAAATTTTTTTTTTCACGTTTTTTAGAATTGAAATTTTTCTAGAAAAGAACTGAAATTACATATATTTAATAAAATTAGTAAGTAACTAGTATTTATAACTGAATGGGCTTACAAACAATGATAACAAAATACATTTATTGAACCATAATTTATTACTTACTCAGAATAGATTAACATAATTTGGTTACAATTTTTCTACAAAATTTATTTATTACAACGTTTCAATAATAACATAACAATAATAATTTCATTTTTTATAATACTAATAACGCTTGTAATTAATATTACATCACAATCGGAATATAAATTTCAGTTGTAAACAAAAATGAAACAATACTAATTATTTAAACGTTTTTTTCATCGAAATGTCCACCTTTGTTTGCTATAACTACTTTACAAATATGAGGCATTCGTGCTACAAGTTTCTCTAAAGTTTCTGCACTTATTTTTTTCCACTCATTTTCTAAGATATTCCAAAGATCCTTCTAGGAAGTAGGTCCTACCTTCCTTACAGCTCTATCTAGGTCATCCTACAACAGTTCGATAGGGTTAAGATCAGGAGAGTAGGGTGGCCATTCCATCACAACTAATTTTTGTTTCTTCTCCAATTATGCAAGATAACTTTTACATAACTTTGAAGTATGCTTTGGGTCGTTATCTTGTTGGAACGTAAATTTGCGACCAATTATTCTTGTTCCGGAAGATATAACATTTTTTTCAAGAATTTTTTTGTAACCTTCTTTTTTCAACTTGCCATCAATTTTAAGAAGGTCACCAACCTTAGAACCACCAAAACAACCCCATACCATTACTGAGCCGCCACCATGTTTAACAGAAGCACACATATTTTTCTCTAAATGTTTTTGCCTATTTTTTCTACGCACAAAACATCTGCGTTTACTACCAAAAACCTCGAATTTGCTCTCATCAGACCACAAAACTTTTTTCCAATCATCAATAGTCCAAATTTTATGTTTTCTGGCCCAAGCCAATCATTTCTTTTTATTAATCGGTTTTAGTAAAGGCTTTTTAATTGCTATTCGACCGTATAGTCCATCTTCATGAAGTCGTCTCTTTATCGTAGTAACACTAAGTTTAACATCATACTCTTTTTAAGTTTCAACAGCAAGTTCGAGTGCCGTGAGTCTTGGATTATGTGTACTTGTACTACAAATGTGTTTATCAGTAGCGCTCGTAGTTTTCCTAAGCCTTCCTGAAATTTTTTTGTTTTTGATATTTCCTTGAGTTATGAATTTTTTAATGTTATAATCAACTGTTCTTCTTGGAATATTCAAAATTTTGGAAATTTTATTATTACTTTTATTCACTTTATGCAAGGCTACTCTCTCAGATCGCTCTTCAATGCTTCAGTTTCTTTTTTTCGTCATTTTTAATGAACAAAAAATACATGCATAATTTACTGACTAGATTGGACACATTGATATTTCATTCATTAAAGCTGATAAGAGACTGAATTTCCATACGTATTCTCTGCTATATGTATACATTCATGAAAGTCAAGTAAATCAAACCACGTAAACACTTAGTGATTATCACAGTGATTATCGGTGAGCATAATACTGTAGAAAGTCATTAAAAATGAAAACAATGCAAATTCCTCTGTTACAACCGTCGAATACAATAAATGTATCTTGTTATCATTGTTTCTAAGCCCATTCAGTTATAAATACTAGTTACTTACTAATTTTATTAAATATATGTAATTTCAGTTTTTTTTCTAGAAAAATTTCAATTCTAAAAAACGTGAAAAAAAAAATTTTTTTTTTTTAAATTCTGAGTCGCGCATTTGATAACTCTTGCAAAATGCTACATTTTTTCTCCTGAGAGTTTTTTCTTTAGAGTTGAAAATAAAAAAATACAGCCCACTTTTTGAAAATCTTTGTTTTTGTATAAAACACCATATAGCTCATAAAAAATAAAGGTAAAAAAATTTTCCGGATATGGATTTTGTAGCTTATTGAAAGCTCTATCGAATGGCTTATACAGTTTTTCCATCGTAGATTCCGTTATACTCGTATAAATAAATCGGGATCGAAGTTGATGTGAAAAAATTAAAAAAAACAATTTGTTTATGACATCACAAGTTGTACAAAAAACAAATAAAATCAATTATGTTTTACAACATTTGAAAGGTCTTGGCAAGACCTTTCAAATGAGACCCCGCAGGATTTTCTAGCTCTTATAGAAACTGAGCCATAAAACTCTAAAGTTTTGATGATTTCAGCAAGGGGATGGCAAATCTTTATGGACTGTAGTGTATGAAATTTTTTTGCGTTGGTTAATTCCTTAATACATTTTTAGAAACTTTTTCTCGACTAGATGTTATAGTATAAAGATTAATATACAAGGTGTCAAATAAGTAACGGAACAAGGCTGTAGCTTTTTAGGTACAGATTATTAGACCAAGGTCAAGGTCATTCCTTTAGTAACTTTCAACGCGGAATCCGATGGTGACCTTGGATTTGACCTTGAGATTGACCTTCAAGGATATTTCAAGGTCAACTTTGTTTTTCTAAATGGGAACCCCTATTTTTGACAACGGCAATCGAAAGAGCGGAAAATTTTACGTCCAAAACGGTATTTTTAAATTTATTTTCATGGCCTTGAGAAGGTCGATTTAAGATCAAATGCTTGAAAAACTGCCTAAAAGCGTTTTTTTAATTTTTAAGATATCGAAAAATGACCTCTACAAAATTTGTTCAGAACAGAGTGGGCCACCCAATGCACCAAAAACCTTTGACCTTTAACCTCATTTTGAAAGTCATTTCAAGGTCGAAATGTTTTTTGTAATGGAAACCCCTATTTTTGACCCCGGATTCGCATATAGCGCGAAGTCAGAAAGAAACATTCAAAACGCAGTGAGTGGAAAAAACTTATCCGGCAAAAAAACTGTACCTATGTCTCTGCTTGCTCCTCATTTAAAACAACTTGACTTTCGGTTTGGATAACCCGTTACTTTATTATTCAAACAATCAAAGGTCAAAGATAAGGTCACTGAAACATGCTCTCAGTAGAATTTAATAAATTTAGCCCGAAACATTTTGTAAATGTTTCGCGAATAATATTGGATCTAAATTTCACATGACCTTAGCGATGAACGTCGTGGATCAATCGAAACTCAACATAATACCTTATCCAAACGTCGGATTTCGCGCTATGTGCTAATCCGGGGTCAAAAAGAGGGGTTTCCATTACAAAAAACACTTCGACCTTGAAATGACCTTCAAAATGAGGTTAAAGGTCAAAGGTTTTTGGTGCATTGGGTGGCCCACTCTGTTCTGAACAAATTTTTTAGAGGTTATTTTTCGATATCTTA